ACAGAAGACATAAAATTTCATGAACTAAAATGTCATAGAAGTCCCTACACAAATTCTTAAACTTTCAGTTACAATTTGAAACTCATCCACCTGCTAGTGCTACATTGCATAACTTGTTGGGATTAAATACCCTTGTTTAGCTTCAAAATAATTTTTTTATGAAAGTTGATATTATCAAGGGATGATATGTAAAACCAAAAGTGCTAGAACCAATCCCTTATTTTTCTACAAAAATGAGGATTTAAAAGACAAAAATTCAAAATAAATACATATAGATGAATTAAAAATCTGAAAACTTATGGAACTCATTTATGTACATAATAAGGATTCCCCCTAAAGTTTCATAAAATTTGGGCACAGTTTGACATTTTATTCGGAATTTTCATTTTCATTTAATTAGGGCATGGATTTACAAAATAGGGTCTTATGACTCAAGAGCACAAGCCAATATTTTTCCCTTCTCGAGGAAAATTATAAGAACCTGTGGAAATTGAATTGGGAATTTTTGCAACTGTTTTCTATTTATTTAGAATTTTTACTATTATTTAGTCATAAATTGCAAATAAATAACAAATTGCCTTCAAAAATTCCTATATAATTTCAAGAAACTGATAACCCCTATTAGAACTAGAATATAATTTGTTACAATTTTTGGAGTTCATTTTCGTGCCTTTATGGATTTTTGAACACAAGGCACCGTGAATTTGATAATACCAATAATGAACCAAACAAACTTTGGGCACTTTGCGACACCATTAGTTGGATAGGTAGATCTTAGATATTGTTTTAGTGAATTATATCTCACTAGAAACTATTTTTTACGTAAGGAACTAGTAGAAATCGATCTCTATAACACCGAACCGCGAAGCTCGAACCGCAAACTCTCCCTGGTGAGTATTCACAACCCCCCTTTTTACTGTTTTCATGTTTTGGGGTGGAAAGCATGCTACTGTTTTATGAGATATCCGTATTATTTTATGAACTTGTGGAACTTTTTTTTTATGAACTTGTTGAACTCTATTTTATTATGAACTTAATGAACTTGGAACGATGTTGTTTTATGAACTTGAGGAACTTGGAATGATACACTTTTATGAACTTTACATTATGAAATTGTGCTATCAACTTCATGCTATGAACTCTTGATATGAACTTTGTGATATGATCTTTGTATGTTAAATCCCTGCAAACCAAACTACAACCTATTAACTCGTATTTCGAGCCGACGATCTTATAGATAGAGCTATTTGGGGTAGACAACCCTCACTCACCCAAAGTTGTGAGTGTATATTTCAATGAACTGACATCATGGGAACCATGGACATGATGGAATGAAACAAGAACAGTCGTTAGGCTTGGTTGTGAACGGAGTGCTTTGGCATTAAACACTCATTTTGAGTTGGAACTTTTGTTGAACAAATTCTTTATAAACCTGTGAACTCACCAACTATTTTATAGTTAACCCTCGTTTTTGCATGCTTTTCAGGAAACGGTCAGTGATCCAGTTTAATACGCCATAATGATTTATGTTTATTGCTCTTGTTATGTACTAGACTATGTAGTATGGAACTAAAATGTAATATTGTTTCGAATATGATGTAAACATAAAAATGCTTAATGATTATGGTTGGTAATCCTATTTACCTTGTGTTATGAGACCTTATCATGTCACTCTTCGTGTTTCCGCTTTAATGGGGTGTGACATCCCAATCCTTAGATCTGACTCTAAAAGGTATCCTAATCCAAAATTCTTTAACTTTTTGCCTTTGCATGGCTAAAGAGAGATAAATCCCTAAACCCTACCTTCTAACATCACCAAAACACCAGACGTTATGCATGGAGGAAAGGAAATGATCAAGCGTGCATTTTTATGACACTATACACCGTAAAATGTATGAAAGGACAGCTCATATGCTCTGCAGTATTCTATACTCACAAAGATCAAAGTTTTAGGACCAGATGAACATAAATCTAAGCTTAAACAAGATCTAGAAAAACAAGCTCATGAACTTTATACCTTCAAAAGATGAACACAGAGATATAAATAATGGATCCAAGACCTTGAATGCACCACCACTTCTTGAATGATCTTACTTTTGTACCAAGAAAACTCAAAATCACTCCAAAAGCTTCAAGTCACACTCTTACGAGCTAGGGTTTCGATTTTAGGGTTTAGAGGAATGGAGGTTGGTCATAAGAAGGTCCAACGGAGGTTAATATGTTTAAATAGGGGATATAACCATACATTTTTTCAGGGTTAAAGTGACGCATGAGTATGCCCGATGTACTCACGTGTACGCACAACGTACTTCAGCTTTGACACACCTCATGTATTGACTTACACCCGACGTACAAACCTTGTACACCCAACGTAAGGGCCTTATTTGCAACAAGTTAAAATATTAAGGGCTGAAATGAAATACATAATATAAGGTGTTACAATAAATACAAGGGTTTCTACGAATATGCTAAATCGGCACGACCAGATGTTGGTTCAATGGTTGGACTAAATGGTTGGACTAAATAGCAAGGAACTATCTTTCATACTTTATACTTTCTGGAAATTTTCACTTATAGCTTTCTATTGCGTAAAAAAATTTTTTTTTTAATTTTTAAACATAGACTGGACAATTAAAAACACATTTTCTTTTATAGTATTCTACGTTCTCGAAACTTTTATATATAGAATTCTACTTTTAAAACGGTCTTTTTTGAGGATTTGAAACATCGATTGGAGAACTAGAAAAACCATCATCTTTTATAGCATTCTACTTTCTAGAACCCGTCATATATATCATTCTACTTTTAAATTGATCTTTTTTGAAGATTTCAAACATGGAGTGGAAAATAAATAAAAAACCATGCATCTTTTTGTATAGAATTCTACTTTTTGCAAACTATCATATATAACATTGTACTTTTAAAATGGTCTTTTTTTAATAATTCAAACATGGAGTGGAAAATTAAAAAAAAAAAAAAAAACATCTTTTTTATAGAATTCTACTTTATGGAAACTCTCATATATATCATTCTACTTTTAAAATGCTATTTTTTGAGAATTTCAAACATTGAGTGGAAAATAAAAATAAAAAAAATACAAAACCATCTTCTTTAATAGCATTCTACTTTCTGGAAACTATCATATATAGCATTCTAATTTAAAAATGGTCTTTTTTGAGGATTTCAAAACATGGAGTGGAAAACTGAAAAAAAAAAAAAAAAAATCTTCTTTTATAGCATTTTACTTTCTAGAAACTATCATATATAGCACTCTACTTTTAAAATGGTCTTTTTTGAGGATTTCAAACATGGAGTAGAAAATTAAAAAAAAAAAAAAAGAAAAACCATCTTCTTTTATAACATTCTGCTTTCTGGAAACTGTCATATATAACATTTTACTTTTAAAATGGTATTTTTTTGAGGATTTCAAACATGGAGGGGAAAATTAAAAAATAAAAATAAAAACAAAAACATCTTCTTTTATGGCATTCTACTTTCTGGAAACTATCATATACAACATTCTACTTTCAAAATCGTCGTTTTTGAGGATTTCAAACATGGAGTGGAATATTTAAAAAAAACCATCTTCATTTATAACATTCTACTTTCTGGAAACTGTCATATATGTCACTCTAATTTTAAAATGGTCTTTTTGAAGATTTCATACATAGAGTGGAAAAAAAACATCTTCTTTTATAACATTCTACTTTATGGAAACTGTCATATATATATAGCATTCTACTTTTAAAAAATGTCTTTTTTTAGGATTTCAAACATGGAGTGGAAAATTAAAAAAAAAAAAAAAATCTTATTTTATAGCATTCTACTTTCTGGAAACTATCATATATAGCATTCTACTTTAAAAATGGTCTTTTTTTGTGGATTTCAAACATTAAGTGCAAAATTGAAAAAAAAAAAACCATCTTCTTTTATAGCATTCTACTTTCTAGAAACTATCATATATAGCACTTTAGTTTTAAAATGTTTTTTTTTTGTATTTTAAAACATGGAGTGGAACATTAATAATAATAAAAAAAACATTTTATTTTATAGCATTCTACTTTCTGGAAACTATCATATATAACTTTCTACTTTTTAAAATGATTTCAAATATGGAGCGGAAAATTAAAAAAAAAAAAAAAAAAAAAAAAAACAAAAACAAAAACAAAAACAACTTCTTTTACAGCTTTATACTTTTTGGAAATTGTCATATATAGCATTTTACTTTTAAAGTCATCTGTTTTGAGGATTTCAAACATAGAGTGGGAATTTTTTTTTTAAAATAATCCATCTTCTTTTATAGCATTCTACTTTCTGGAAACTGTCATATATAACACTCTACTTTTAAAATTGTCTTTTTGAGGATTTCAAACATGGAGTAGAAAAAAACATTTTCTTTTATAGCATTCTACTTTCTGGAAAGTGTCATATACAACATTCTACTTTTAAAATGGTCTTTTTCAAGGATTTCAAACATAGAGTGAAAATTTATTAAAAAAAAAAAAAAAAAAAAAAAATGATCTTTTTTAAAGATTTTAACATGGGAGGAGTAGAAAAGGATTCTATAGTGGAAAATAGTTCACAAAGAAAAAAAACATTTTATATCTAACAATCTTGAAACAAGGAAGTGTTTATATTTTGATATTGTATATAGATTATGCATGCAAATTCATGATAATGACTGTTTTGTTATTATCTACATTATTTTAATTTGTAATATGTGAGTTTTAATCTAGTTCATAATAAAACACTCAAATAAAATAACGACTATTTTTGCAAGTTGAAACTTCTTACCTTATCCAAACGAAAAGTTGAAACTACAAGGACCATTTTTGCAGTGTTCTCAAATACAAAAGTTTGATTGATTTCCCCTGTCAACCACAAGTACGAAAGCAATAAAATCCTTGTGTAGTTCAGATATCCCTAACTTTTTTTTTGCAATTATTCCTTAATAATCTCTCCCTTTGATTTATATATAGAAGATCCATAAAAACCCTTCAATGGCGTCTTCTTCAACTTCATCCAATCAAAAGAGCTATAAGTATCACGTGTTCTTAAGCTTTAGAGGAGAAGACACACGTAAGAACTTTGTTGATCATCTTTACGCTTCTCTTAAGCAAAAAGGTATTCACACCTTCAGGGATAATGAGGAACTCGAGAAAGGAAAACAGATCGGTCAGCTCTTTAAAGCCATTGAAGAGTCGAGGATTTTAATCATCGTTTTCTCCAAAAAATATGTGCATCTTCTTCTTGGTGCTTGAACGAGGTTAGGAAGATTATGGAGTGCCAGGATGAGAATGAGCAGATTGCTTACCCACTCTTTTATGATGTAGAGCCCAACGACATCCGCCATCAAACTGGGCCAGTTGGAAGTTCAATCGCCAAACATAAGACCAACAAACAGATTAAGGAATGGGAAAAGGCTCTGGAAGGTGCAGGGAATCTGGTTGGGTGGGATCTGAAAAACATTGCTAATGGGTATATATTCCTTCATCATATCTCTTCTTTAATTATTATTCTTTCATATCTGTATTTTGCCATCGATGTTATATTGTAAAATTCTAACTCCATGTTGAGTCTTCAATGTGATGATCGAACCTCCTTTAAGTCAGCAACAAATATATACCCATTTCTGCCTTCACTTCACCAGATCTTATGAAACCCTTCTGTCCTATGATTTCCCCTGTTTTCATAGCATCAAAAAATCATTTTTTTTCCCCTCAATTGAGCACTTAAAAACACAGCAGTATACATTTATCTTCCTACTTCCAACATTCTAGACGGATATGTTATTATTACTATTTTCACATGGTTGTATGGTATATTACTGAAAGTAATTGATCTACAGGCATGAAGCTGAAGCCATCAATCAAATTGTTAAAGAAATTTCACTGAAGCTACGTTCCATTCACCTGAGCAATGATGACAATCTGATAGGCATGGACCACCGGATGCGAGATCTGGAGTTGTCTTTGGGAATCGGTTTGAACGATAAAGCGCGTATGATAGGGATCAAGGGTATGGGAGGCATTGGGAAGACAACATTAGCCAGGGCTATTTTTGATAAAGTATCTTCCCATTTTGAAGGTGGTTCCTTTGTTGAGGACGTAAGGGAACTATCAAAAAAGAAGGGCGGAATGGAAATTTCGAAAAAGGAAGGTTTGCGGTCATTGCAAGAACGAATCCTTTCAGGTGTTCTAAAAGATGAAAACATGCGTGTGGGGAGTGTTCATGATGGGAAAGAACTCATGAGAATGAGACTACCCTATAAAAAAGTTCTTCTTGTTCTAGACGATGTGGATGATGCAGAGCAGCTTGAGGCATTAGCTGGAGATTGGTTTAAGGTTGGAAGTAGAATCATCATTACAACAAGAGACGAGAAAGTGCTGCTAGCACATGGAGTAAATGTAAAATGGATTCATGATGTCAGTTTGTTGTCGGATGAGGAAGCAATGAGCCTCCTTAGTAGGTATGCATTTAAGAGATATATTCCAGATCAAGGATATGAAGAGCTTTCATCAGAAGTAGTACGTTATGCTGCTGGTCTTCCCCTGACGATTAAAGTTTTGGGTTCACATCTGCGTGGTGAAAATGAGGTTGTATGGAGAGACGCACTAAAAAGACTAGAAACAATTCCATCTCGGGAAACTCTAGAGGTATTGGAAATAAGCTATAACAGCTTAGAGGATGATCACAAGGAAATGTTCTTAGATGTTGCATGCTTCTTGAAGGGGTTTCCTGAAGAATATGCAATTAGAACGCTTGATAGCTGTGGATTTCGTGCTACATATGGTTTAAGAATTCTTGAGCAAAGATCTCTCATAACAATTTTAAATGGTAGATTGGGCATGCATGATAAGATAGAAGAATTGGGCAAGAATATTGTTCGGCGATCGCACCCCCATGAGCCCAACAAACACAGCCGACTCTGGATTCGCGAGGAAATTGAAGAACTATTTACTGATGATTCAGTAAGGATCATGTTTACTAAAACTAACAGATTTTTCTTTACATATATATGACACAAGTTTCATGGTGACTGTTTTTGGATTATAGGGTGCTGAAGCTTCTACATGTATAGGATTGGGACTGGTGTTGAAGGAACTGAGTCCTGAAATTATCATCAAAAGACTTGGAAACATGAGCAAACTTAAATATCTTATTCTTATTGGAGATGGTGATGACTGTTTCCCTTGCAACTGGAAGTTTGATCAAGCAAAACAGTATTTTCCAAATTCGTTACAGTATCTGCATTGGAATAATTACCCTGGTTTGTTTTTACCCCAAACATTTCGACCAAATAATCTTGTTGGGCTTGGATTGCCAGGAAGCAGAATCGTGCAACTTTGGGAAAATGGAGAAAGAAAGGTACATTTTGTAATGCTTTTGGTCGATTTGTTAGCTGATACAACAACACTTGTCTAATTTTTGTTCTTTTGCATATAATCTAGGTTCTTAAGAAGCTCAGGTTCCTCGACCTTCGTTTTTCGAATTTGAGGACCCTTGACCTTGGGATGACTCCAAATCTTGAGCAGGTAGTTCTTAATGGATGTCAGGATTTGACAGAAATTCATGCGCCATCTGGATGTCTAGAAAGGCTTGTGTATGTAAATTTAGTTGGTTGTTCATGGCCTGTATCTTTTTCGTTATCCAAACAGTTGGAATCACTTGTTCTTCTTAGTCTACATAAGTTATTTGTGACTGTGGAGTGCTTGGAGGAATTCCCAAGGGACTCCACAAACAATCTACCAATGCTACGACTTGAATTCCAATATTCTAAAGAACAACCCTCCTCAACAACAGGAATTCATTCTAAGGGTGTGGTTCTAGATATCCAACCTTGCACAAAACTTGAGAGTGTTTCAGGAAGCTTTTTTGGTTTACAACATCTAAGAGACCTTACATTCCATGGATGTATTCCGGAGGTGCCCAATGACCTTGACCAGTTGAAATGCTTAGAACAGCTTACTTTGTACTCTACACACATCAAATGTCTTCCAGATAGTCTTTGTATGTTGAAAAATCTGAACTCTCTCAAACTTAAAGATTGTCAGCATCTTCAAGAGTTACCGGAGAATCTTGATTGGTTAGAAAATTTAGAGGAGCTGAGTTTGTCGTCTGCAAGTATTAGATGCCTTCCGGATAGCATTTGCATGCTGATTCATCTGAAATCTCTACAACTTGAATCTTGTAGGTCCCTTGAGAAGTTACCTGAGGATATTGGGCAATTAGAATGTTTAGAGGAGCTGAACCTGACAGAGTGTACATCTTTAGGAGATATTCCAAACAGCATCTGTAAGATGAAATGTTTGAGATATTTCCATCTCCCCTTTTGTGGTCAAGTTCAGAAATTGCCAGAGGAATTTGGAAATTTAAAGCTTTTAGAAGGGTTAAATATAGCTTTTACAGGAATATGTCATCTTCCACACAGCATTTCTTCAATGGATGGTCTGCGTATTTTGGGATCCACATCACTTATTCAGTCGTATGCTTTTGCAACCGAGATAGGGACTTCAGAATATGGAACCTTGTGCTACATAAAAGCAGAATTAAGGAGCCGGTCCACAAAGAACTATCTTAAGAGGTATTTTCCTCATTTTTCCATTAATTGTCTTGTATTTTAGAGACTTATTAGTCTGATGGTTAAGAGTAGTCCAATTCTACTGGTTTTACGTCACATTTTTCAATTTTGAGTATTCTTTATTTTCATATTTAAGCTTGTAGCTCCACAGGGTAGCTTATTTATACTCTTAGTTAGAGTATCTCCAATGGCGGCTTTTTTATCGACTCTTTTAATATTTGAAAAATCTATTTAAAAGCTTTTTACTATTGGAGAGGTTAGATTTTTGTAGTGTTTACTCCAACAGATTAGTAAACTCAAGCTACTTATTCCCCTTATATGTTTTGTACATTTTTCCCTACCTTTAATAACATTTCATTTTTAACCCTAATTTGTATCTACATATCAAACAATTAATATTTTATAACTATTTAATCTATTTTAAATATACCAAATGAAATGAATATGTTTTATACATCACATCTTATCTTTTTGGCATGCACTTTATCTTGTTGGAGGTCTTCCATTGAAGCAACCTCTCTACCCTAGGGTGAAGGTAGGCTGTCTACATCTAACCTCCCTCTTAGTCCTTTTTTATAGGATTATGGTATTTTTTTTTTGTTGTTCCATAATTGTCATTTGTGTTAGATACCGTGTCTAATTCAAGTTGAAACGGAACATGAGTCTGCATAATTGTCATCTCTTCAGCCTTGTACTATGATAGAGTTTAAGAATTCCATATAAAAGCTTGGAACCATGTAGATGCATGTGAATATTGTATTTTTTCCCCATTTTTTTCGATTGAACAACTGAGCAATCATGGATCCTAAAATTTGAATCATTTTGTGCATTCAGGAGTTTCGCTGACCACAAAGCAACCGACACACGAAGTGCATGATTCTACTCGACTACTATGCGTACTTGTAAGAACCATTTGGTTTGTACATTTTATGGTATCATACTCTCTTTATTCAATTGCAAATACATCTATACTTATCTTCGTAGTATTAGGATTCATACATTGCTATCTCCTAGCTTATAGTTTATATTCTCCTTGTTTATCTACAATTCGAGTTTCCCTTGTATTTACACTGTTTTGATCTAATTATATTGTAAGCAATTCCAAACAATCGAATTCTTTATGGTATTAGAGAAGGGTTTGAACCTGTGATAAAACCCTACCAAACATTGCGGAAGATAAGCCTGAAAAATCAAAAGATGAAGGAGGAGTTCCCGTCGATACCAACTCCCCTTATTACATTCATTCATCAAACTATCCAAGGAAAATGCAAGTCAACGATTCATTAACAGACAACAACTACAACGATTGTGCACAAGAGATGAAAGTTTTTTTCTTTTTAAAAATCAAGATTAGTTTCATTGACAGGACGATCGAGAATAAGAAAACTCACAAAACTACATGATATGGATGCATAGTGATGCGATGATCAAGTGATGGATGATCACAACCATGGAAAGGACATCAGAACTAACTAACATGAAGTAGGTTAACACAAAAAAGGAGATATGGGAAGATCTTTAATAAAGGTTCATAAAGGAAAGTGGTTTGATGGATTATGAATTAAAAAAGTTGCTTACAACTACATGACAAGATGGTGCCTTCGTGTCTTCTTACTACACAAAATTGTGGAGGCTTTGAGACGAAATACAATTTGTCTCACCGTTCCTTGATGTACCTGTTATGATTGTTCCGTGACATGTGAAAGGGATCGAATGAGTTCAACGAGAAGGAGAGGCTCTATGAATTCCTTATTGGGTTAGAAATTGAGTACTTAACGATTAAAACTCAAATTCTAGCCATAAAGCCATCACCAACATTAGGAATAGTTTACCATCGGGTGTCCAAAGATGAACAACATTATGAATGTCACGAAAGGACTTGTTGCAGATGCAGTGAATTTCCAATTCTACACACCCGGGTGAAGAGGCACCAAAATCGATCATAACCAACCAAAGAAAAAGATTGTTCACAAGGATTTTATGCGAGCAAATAACGTCGAACTCGAGCATTGTAAACTGTAAACAATAATTACTCAAAAATATAGGGTATCTGGATTGGTGGCAAGCAAGGTGAAACCAGAAAATAGGAGGAAATAGGAAAACAAGGGTTGCTTGCGTTGACTCGGGAACTAGTCTGATACTCGGGCTGACCTCCTTAAAACACTTTTCTATCGGTAGGTCAAATGAAGACATTGAACCAACGATCAACATGAGTGATTGGTAAGGTTGAGGTAGATGATGCATGGGTTGTTGACTCAAACGCCACCGAGCATATAACTTGTAAACAAGAATAACTCAAAAATAAAACTTAGATTTTTTTTTTGGAAACACTGTGTTACCATACCTAACGGAGACCTCGTTCCCATATATGGAAAAAGGGGGCTTGCATGCTACAAAACAGGATCGAAATTGAGAAAGTTTTGCATATTCCTAGTTTTAGTCGCAACTTATTGTGTGTTAGTCGTTGCTTGACCAAAGATCTAAACTGTGTTGTAACGTTTCTTCCTGGTTATTGTTCCAAGCAGGACTTATGCTCGAGGAGCCTAATTGGCATGGGTTAGTGAAAACGAGGCCTTTACTGAATGGGCATGGTGGTGACATAAAGGGATGCTATGATGACAATGGTTATGTTGAGTGGTGACATAGGAGGTTGGGTTAGACTTCAGAGTCAAAGATATGTCAAGTTTGTTTCTTAGAGAGAGTTTCAAATAAAATAAAAAGATATAGTATGTGATTCTTGTGGTATAGCTAAGCATAATAGGATACCTTTTCCACATAGTTCAATAAAAACGAGTGATTGTTTTGATTTACTAGATGTTGATGTTTGGGGAAAGTATCATATACCTTCGTATTCGGGTGCTAGTTATTTGCTTACAATTATTGACGATTGCAGTAGAGTTTTTTTGGGTCTACTTACTCAAACATAAAAATGACGTATATCTTTACCTGATTGATTTCCATGAAATTGTAAAAACTCAATTCGAAAGAAAGATGAAGTGAATTAGAGCAGAGATTGGTGGGGAATTCTTAACATGTTCCCTGAAAGACTTTTACGTGAAGGAAGGAATAATATTCTAAACTACTTGCCCACACATCCCTCCACAAAACAAGGTTACGGAAAGAAAACATACACATCCATGAGATTGTTCGAGCGTTGAAATTCGAAGTTAATATTCCTGTCAATTTTTAGGGTGATTGTGTGCTCACTGCAACTTATATTATAAACTGACTATCATCAAATGTTATCAAGAAAAGAACACCTTTTGAGATCCTTTTTGGATGAAAACCCGACTATGGTCAGATGAAAGTCTTTGGATGCTTGATGTATGTAAGAAACATTGAAACCAAAGGAGATAGGTTTAAAGTGTGGGGAGACCGTCATCAGATATCATCAACCCAAGAAGGGATATTGCATATTTGACATAAAAGACAAAAAAATGTTTCTAGAGATGGATGGTTAGTAGAAAGTTTTTTTTTTCCATTTGTGGATTCTACACCTTGCAATGATCAACTAGAAGGCATCAAATTCTTGGATAAAAACATTCCAATAAAACGATGAATATTTATCCACAAAGGTAATAGATGATACATCTAGACTAGAAGAACTAAAAAAAATAAACTTGGATTAAGACACTTTAAATAAGCAAAATAAAACCTTGATACCTGAGAGTGATTCTCGACATCCGACTAAAAGCACACGAGAAGATGCTACCGAAAATAAGGAATGCAAATCATAGAGATAAAGGACACAATTCTTGGTCTCGACATCTGGATGATTTTATTTTTAAGTCGCCCCTTCGGTAGACCATGCACCATCTTTGTGACATCCCCTATTTTTCATAATCGATTTTTTTTTCTTTACGCTTTAAAAATCATAATATCATGGTTTGCAAAAAATCCTAGTATATTAAAACTATACAAATGATTGTTTCATAATATCAAATCTCTATGGATGTAATAATCGATATACAACATTTGTTACAATGTAAATACCTAACAGTCCTCAACATTATTGCATATATTCTCTTCAATAACTCAGCATCCTAATGAAATCCTCAACAATCTTAAACACTGTTACCTTTGATGCATATAACTTAAGTGGGCCAGGTTGGGAAACCTGGTGATATAAATATGGTTATCAATCCCATAATGTTATTCTAATATTAATCAATAATCATTAAGATGTAAAATTCAAGGTTGGGAAACATTGTGAGATATATATGGGTAAGTTAATTCTTTTTTTATCTCCAATTAACAAATTCAAGGTTTTAATTGTTTGCCCAATTTTTTCTATGTTTTGTGGTTTTCGTTTCCCCTTTTTCGTTCATCTTCTTCTTTGTCTATACCCTAATTGACAATGATTTCATGTGATGGCAGACAGTTAAAATGGAGCTTAATGTTTGGACAACTTTATACTAGTGAACCAACCATGGGTGGATTTTTTAAGGAGGTATATAATAAAAATTCAATATTTGGTAGCTTGTTAGGCATGTCAAACCCAAAAAATAATAGGGGTACAACTGACTCCAAATACACTACTTTAATGCACTAAAAAGTAGTACAAGGAAAGCAGGTTCGAACCACAGAAACACAGGATAAAAGTTTATACTTATTTGCGCAAGGTACTTTGGTCACAAAGGGGGATTTGTAACGTCAAAAAAATTTCAACCAATTTTACACTTTTCAAAAACAACCCAATTTCATTAATTCATTACAAAAAGGTTTTCAATACATTTATTATCAGAGTATTCCCATAACCATATCATAAAACAAGAACATGAAGAGCGGTACGATCACGCCTTCGCCTTGCTACGGTCTCTTGAAGTACCTGAAATATTAAACCACAACTGTAAGCCCGAAAGCTTAGTGAGATACCCCAAAAATACCAACCATATATATCATACACATAACATATCATAACAGAACAGTCATGCACTTTGGGTCTACTGTGTGATTGGTCCGCCGCACCGGGCCTTCAGTCCACCTGGTCCACCCTACGAGTCTAGCCATATGCATCGAGTCTGCAGTGTGTTTGGTCCGCCTGCATCGGGCCTTCAACCCACCTGGTCCACTCTCTGAGTCTACAGTATGACTGGTCCGCCCGCACTGGGCCTGTAGTTGGCCTAGTCCACTCTCCGAGCCTCAGTAAGTCTGGTCCGCCCTCCTGGGGCCTACAGCCTATCCAGACCGCTCACTGGGCCTTCGGAATATCCGTTCCGCCCTGGTTATGTTGGCCTACAGCACAAAGCAGGACCCGCCTCAACCCAACCCCAATCAACCAACCATGTGCACATAAACATATAACCATATAACAATTAATCATCAATCAACCGATCTAGCAGATCACATACAAAATATACTCTAACCAGAATACCGACCTTAACCAGGTCTCTAACATATACCATCCTAACTACCAGGATGCAATCATATAGCAAAACAATAACATAGCAATTAACAACTACCCGAATTTCCATCCGATAAAGGGTCGGCCTTGGTGCCTTAGACCCTGTCGATATAGTGAGGATAACTCACCTCGCAATTGCTGACTGAAGAGATAAGATCACGCTGCTCCAACCTCCGACACGAACTCCGTCACTGATCAATACCAAAAGACTGAACTCAATAAATACCAATAATTACCAAATTACCCTTTGAAGTCAACTAGTCAACTCTTGGTCAAAGTCAAACTTCCTGACTAACTCTAATCGCCGAGTCAGCCCGCTGACTCATCGAGTCCCTAAGCCCTGAACACTCCCATACCGCGACCCAGCTCGCCGAGTCGCCCCAAGACTCGCCGAGTCCCACGAACTCTGAGTCCTTCATGCTCAACTCACCGAGTCATCCTTCGACTCACCGATTCACGACTTAACCAAAAAA